GCCTCGTGATTATAATTGAGGAGCTATTTCAAGGAAATAGCGACTCCGGTCTAGAAAACCGAAATTAACAGCCGTTGGGATTCGTTGCGCTGACCATGCGACACCCTCTATCCGCTAAAGTTGGCACTAACTTCGCTGACAAGCGGCGGTCGCTCGGTCGGTATAGTTCGCTTGCGGACTACAGGCCATGGAGTTTGTTAAGAAGATATATGCCTAGAATGAAAGCCAGCAGATTTCCGAAAGAAGCCTCAGGACAACTACTCGTGGGGAAAAGACGATCAACAGGGCGTCAAATGAAGAGGTGGAGAGAAAACTAAAGACTCTAACAGACCTCAAGTCGTAACACTTGGGAGGAGGACTAAGAAGACTACCACTGAAAAGGCCGGTGTAGAGGTAACGCTCTAGACTTGTACTCGGAAGATACCGGCCATCTTGGTTGAGGTGTTTCGTGGTTTTCCTTTATCCTTCGAGACAAATGTGAGGACAGTGCCTCGATTCTTTCCGAATCCTTTCCAGCTCACCATTCGTCAGTCATATCACCACCCGACGCTGAATCATCTTAAAACAAACTCCGTGGTTCGAGTCCGCAAGCGAACTATACCGACCGAGCGACCACCGTTTGTCGGCGAAGCTAGTGCCAACTTTAGCGGATAGAGGGTGTTGCGTGGTCAGCGCAATGAATCCCCACGGCCGTTTATCTAGTTTTTCTAGACCGGAGTGGCTATTTCCTTGAAATAGCTCCTCAGTTATCATCACGAGGCTGAGTGGACCCCGTTCCAGAACTACTTCTCAGAAAATCTGGTAGCGCAGGGAATCGAACCCGGACCTCTGAATCTGTAGACAGCTAGACCACAGAGGCGGTCATCATCTTGAAAACAGCCCACTCGGACTGCCTTCAGATTGAATTCCGGGCTCAGCGTCTAACTCCCCGACCTCTGACAAGGGCCAATTACGGGTTAATTCCATGAAGTGGCTGTCCACGGACAGCACGAGCTCCAGACGGCTCGATACGAGCACCGGAAATCTTCCATTTCAGCACCACGTTTAGAACGGTTCTGGCGTCCTCCTAGCGTCCGGTCCGAGTACACAGGAAGCTATGTCCCGTGGCCGGGGCGTGAATCTAGTGCCAAGGCTCAAATGCGTGCATCTTTTACTTCCAAGTCATTCTTACTCCTTCGTGACGTCGTGTTTATGCACACGAAATTCTGTCTTTTACCTACACGTCTGTATAAGAGCTGTCAATACAGATACCTCGTTAGAAACTAGTGTAAAAATACAGCGAATGGCAAATGCAGCTTTGCATTTGAAAAGTGTCTTACGTAAACTAATGCCAACTTTTGCGGATAGAGGGTGTCGCGTGGTCAGCGCAACGGATCCCCTCGGTCGTTTATCTCGGTTTTCTGGACCTGAGCCGCTATTTTTCCATTCAAGCAGCCCCTCAATTATCCTCATGAGGCCGAGTAGACCTCGTTCCAGACCTACTACTTCTCAGAAAATCTGGTAGGCCCGGGAATGGAACCCGGACTTCTGGATCTGTAGCCAGGAACTCTGACCACAAGACCACAGAGGCGGTTGACATGAATCTCGCAGACAAGCGGCGGTCACTCGGTCGGTATAGTTCGCTTGCGGACTAGAGGCCACAGAGTTTGTTACGTAAACTATAAACTCACTCGCGGATTAGTACTCGCATAATGCAATTGACCCGAGAGTCTATGGATTCGGTAATTAGATTAAATTTTATATATCATACTCGAGTAGCTTTAAAGCTATACTGAGTTTTGTCAGCATTTGTCAACGGACAGTAAATACACATCAGTGTCCACCTGAGTCCTTAAGTAAAAATTTCCTTACGCTAAAATCATCAATATTCTATATAATGTGGTGTAGGTTTCACATCGAGTTTGAATGAAGTCGATAAACGGTCGGATAGACGAAAGGTCATGTGTGTAAAGGAGTTTTTTTAATTATTAAAAGAATACAAAAACTAATTCATAATAAAAATTCTATATTCTGATTTCCATGACCAAATTTCATAAAAGTCTAAATAGTAGAAAATATCTTTAAAAAATGTGGGGGAAATGAAAGGTTAGTGGCTCCGAACAAGTTGTAAGGAATCACATACGAATTTGCTGGGTGGGTCAATTTAAAGAGTTTCAAAATATCTGGCTGGACGATCGCAGCGAAAATAATAGATAAGGAGATGGTCACTGGGATTGACAATAGAGCAGATTACATTCTGACATGTTAAAATGAACAAGGCGGATAAAGCTTGTTCACAAACCGCTTACGTCATTTGGAACAAAAGCCCAAACACAAAGAAACTAAACTAAAGAGCACGTTAACTCTCAAAGTTTCATCAATTCCAACTAACGAATGCACACAGGGTCTTCTTGAAAACAATCTGTACCACATTCACTGTGTTTAATCTTTTGAGGAGCATGTCTATCGAGTTCCTTTTTAACAACGCTGTCAGAATCGATACTATCGAAATTGCTGAACTGCAGTTTCATTTCCCCCAGTCGAAGCTCCCTCTCGATCGCTATTATTTGCTTTCAGACACTTCATTGGTAACTTGATTTGCTGCTTAAACGTCGATGTTTCTTTCCAGCTAGTTATTTATCGATTCTTACAGTATCGAGGTTATAAAGCGTCGACAATACGATGATTAATGAATGTGGAACAATTGATGGAATGAGAATTGGTAGGAGAAGCTGAAGTACTTAAAGAAATCCTGTCTAAGTACCACTCTGTCCACCACAAATCCCGCATGATCTGGGATCGAACCTGGGTTATCGAGGTGAGAAGCTGGCGACTAACCGCCCTAACTACTTTTAGACTGTATAGATAACAGGCTATCAAATGAAACCGCATGCCTTATAGATCAATCTAGTCTGAATTCTCAGACTCGAATCACTGTCCGATATCGAGCTATCACAATCTGCCAAAAGATACCCATTTTCCAAACAGAATGTATACGTTATTTTAAACGCTTAATCAGCATTACAATAGTTTACAAGTTACCTGTTAGGAAGGTAAAAGTAAGAAGTAAAGGTATCCCTGTAACAGGCCGTGGAGGCCCATAGGGTTGTGAGATGTTGAGGTTCCCACATTTTCTAGACAATCGGTTCACAGATGGCGGTGAGGTTGTCAGCCTGGTACACATTTCTGTTAGAGGCTGAGTCGACCCCAGGGACACAGTGCGGCTGGAAGGAGTAGGTCAATTGAAAAAATCCAATCACCTCATCAGGACTCGAACCCGCGACCTTCCGGCTTGTAGCATAGTGCCTCAACCAACTATGCTACCGCGAATGGCATTCAAAAATATTACACGTTACCTGTTAGGAAGAGCATACAAAAATATTACACCTTATCTGTTAGGAAGGGCATACAAAAATATTACACCTTATCTGTTAGGAAGGGCATACAAAAACATTAAAGCTCCGTGTGGATACGTGGTACTTGAATAGGGTAATCATGATTTCATCACTGTTTTCTGGTCTGCAGAAGTGGTTTCATTACGTAAACAGAAAGCAAACTACTTTTTAAAACAAGAACAGCAGACCTCTAACGTCCATGCAAAAAAAAATAGATCTATTTATTAGACATAATATTATATTTATGTTTCCTGTTGCGTTAGCTGAAGCTTATAGAAATATATAAGCAAAAGAATTTTATAATGCACATGCTTATTTCGGGAATGTTGTTTCCACGACATATTTCGGCCGTATATGGTCATCTACATGCCTTGCGTCGACTGTTTCACTCCACATGTGTTACTTGCTAGTCTATGACAATATGACTACAAAAACATACAAGTGTAAGTTCTATATCCAAGTTGGACCTTGTTAATATAAATTACATCGTTGATATAAAATGTATACAAAGTAAGTTCGTGTATTTTTCATTAGTGGCAGTCGCCGCTGGATATTCTGGGTTGCTGGGTGAGGTTCTTTTCCGTGATACCAATGCATGTGCGCAGTTGTGGATCTATGTTGTGCTGTAGTATTGCTGGTGGGTGGGTGTTATGTGCGGAATAGGTACACGTATGAAAACATGAACTAGATTCTACAAATAGATAGTTGCATTACAGGAATGTTTTACACACACATTTTATATACCAGTTAAGTTATTTATTGGGGCCGCGCCATAGCTCAAGCGATCAGTCGCTGGCTTCCCACCGCGGCGGCCCGGGTTCGATCCCGAATTTGGTCACGTGGGATTTGTGGTGGACAAAGTGGCGCTGGGGCAGGTTTTCTCCGAGAACTTCGGTTTCCCCTGCCAATTTTCATTCCACCAATTGCTCCACAATCACCCTCACCTATCATCTGGAGCTGGTACAATGGACCAGAAGTGGCGGCAGTACAAGGGACTTAGTCCCACCCCACTAGCAATAAAAAAACATTTATTGCTGTTTGTCATCCTGCAATAGGCCTTACTTTGGTGCCCCGAGAATGGACAACTTGAAAGTTCATATGTTTTGTATGTTTTTGTTTTCTGCATTAAATCTGTCAGGAATAAGGTATGATGCAGTTATCTTACAGTGAGACCTGTGTTCAGTAATTCTTGTTTTGAGTTTAGAATCGAACAGTCCTATTTAACTTTCATACTAAAACACACGTACAAAGTGAACGGAAAGTACTACTATGAATTTATATGAAGGCTTCCTACGGTCACGCCTAGGCAATCCTCGCCATAATTTAACTTCGCTTGTTCACATTATAACATCCACATTTCATCTTGTACCAAAACGGTGAGGAAGTGTCGTAAACCTTACAGAAATGAACAATGGATAACTACGTAATGGGTTACTGCTGGAACACCTCAACAATTGTGGACTTGCCAAATACCAATATTCCGACTGAAATCTCTCAACAGCTTCTTCTGTGACTTAAACTAATGGCACCCAATGCTGGTCAGCCCAATACTGGAACAAGTGACGGTATATTAGCGTCCATAGCTGACATGAATATCATAGAATATTCTGCTCCAAGGACACTTACCGTGTTCAGCATCTCCCGAATCCGCCTGCAACAAGAAAGAAATATAATAAACTTTAGAACTAATTCTGAATGGGACCAGACCAGACAGCCAAATCCGTCAACGCATTTCTGTCATCATAAACAAGAGGCATGAGACCAATTAGAAGCAAAATATGCATTGACGAGCCCAGGGGTTCCACACGTTACCACCTGCATTCTGGCCACAGAGCGTATCTGTGTGTTCCGTACGGTTCTCGCAATAAACAGCGACTCTTTCCCTAAACAGCATTAACCGGTTGAGCTTCGTAGCCGAGAATACTGTTTCCTGTGAGGTACGGACTGAATTTGTATGTATTACTCAGAAGAAATTCAGTCTTCAAAGGGTTAATACTTTTCTTTGGCATGTGAAATGGAATAATATTGTAAATTTTGTCAAATACTAGAAATTATATACAACATTTTTAAATTATCATTAGAGTCCAGGTATACAAGAATACGTATTTATAATACATTTGCTAGACCAATATTATTTTATGTATGGTGGAAAGAAATAATGAGACAAGTTTAATTAACATCATAAATGCGTTTCATGAGGACTGCGCCATAACCTTTACGGACCTTAAAACAAAACTATAAATTCCAGAAACAAAAAAAAAATCACAGAATACACATGAAACTCCAAAGAACATGGTGGCAAGATAGGATTACAAAATAGCAATCAGTGTTTGGAAAGACTTCGGAAATGGTGGAAGGTTTATGCTTTGCAATATTCGTAACAGGTGTCAATAGGCCTAATACTGCAAAGGATGTGGTGATAAAGCTGTTTGCGTTGCCTCTAAAAATAGAAGACTCATATCTTTTGAGATGTATATCAGCAAACACAGAAAACACTCAAAATAGATAACTCGTACTAAAGCAAGTTATCACAGACCCAGTGCTGTAGTGGAGGGTACACGGAACAGCCTACACGATGTATACCGTGTGTTTGTTTCGAATGTGTACGATAGCCCCTCTGTTTTCACTGAAAAATAATGTACGTATACACCAGCCTCATGAAAAATTATACAGGTTGTAAACGAACGGCTAATTTATCCTTGTTTCATGTACTTTTTAAATTTAAAACATACGTTTCTATATTGTTTACACTACCATCAAAATCGTATCGTGTTTTCAAACCGACGAGCTAGAAGGAGAACGGAGTTCATTGTATCGAACGAGCATAGCCACATTTTTCATGCAACGGCATAAAAGCTCTGTGCCAGAAATTCTATAGTCAATTTCAATGTTGCCTTGTTCGATATCTGAACGTTAACTTGGGCTAATTATACTGATCAACATAGCAACGGATTTGCGAACATCTCATCTCATATATATTATATTCAAGCCTAATGCTTACAAATTCCAACGGACCACATATTAGAAACCTTCAAACAGAAAAGTATGCAAAGCCATGGTTGTTAAAACACCATCAGTCTACAGACACAAGGTCATGAGAGTGGTAAGAAAACACTGCAGACTTGTCTCGCTACGCTCTTTGGAATGTAGTTCTAAAAAAATTGAAGTGAAACGAATGTATGCTATATATTTTTAATCTAGGGCCCCCACATCAGATTCAATATTATATATACTCTAAAGCTAAAAACAACAAAATCAAACTCCGTGGCTTTAGTCCGAAAGCGAACTACACCAACCGAGCGACCGCTGTTTGTCGGGGAAGTAAATGCCAACTTTTGCGGATTGAGGGTTTCGCGTGGTCAGCGCAACGAATCCCCACGGCCGTTAATTTCAGGTCTCTAGACCGCACACTCTAAAGCTAGTTTCGAAAAAATTGAAAATACAGTATTACGTTTATTTTTTTAATCTTTATATACGAGTATATTGTCACGCGTTCAAGGGACTATAGACAGGTTCTGGATTGATAACTGGACTTACTGGGCCCTCATCAAACCCGTGACTACACTTGACTGATCACTACCACACACGTATGCTTGGTAATGGCTTCCAACGGCGGACCTTTCTATGCTTCCGAGTTCACGTCCTTGCAGGGTGGCGACAATCTTACGCCAACCTCAAAATCTGACCGTTATCTTCAGGCGGTACTCACTTCAGCTCCTAGCTCCCGGGCTGGACTGACTTCCAGCTGCCAACATCCAACTTCAGCTGTCATTAAGCGACTGGGTTCCGAACTGAACTAACTGGCCTCAAAGTGAAAGTCAAAGTTATGTTGCGACTGGAAGTCAGTCGGCCAGTTTGTCTTGGTATCAAGCATCCATATGGGGCCCAAGACCAGACATGTATTACTGTCAGAGTGTTGCGGGTTTGTTGATATGTGGAGCATTCACCTGATCCTGAGGCGAAGACATATCATCATTATCATTATCTCTGCTTTCACCGCGTTACTTCACGTGTTTCCAGTATCGAAGACTATCCAATGATAGGGTTACGGATGAACTGGGAAGGATCAGGAAGGAAACTGTCGTGAACTGAGGTACTATTCCTGCATTTGCTTGGAGGTGCATCATTATTAAATGTATGTAAAGGTAAAGTTGTCCCTGTGCTTAACTAATTAAGCACTACACCACGAAGGCGTATGGGGGAGTGGATGTATACATATATATATATATACATGTATAGCCACATTTTCTTGACCTCGGCACCAGTTGGAGGTGAGTGGTCAGCTTCACGCCCCTGCCGCTTTAGCCCCGGTACCCATTGGGTAGGAGGTTGGGTGGACCTCAGAGCCGGTCTGGACGTGGAGAAAATTATTAACCCTACTGGGACTCGAACACAGAACCCTCGGTCGTCCAGCCAGTAGCCAGTCGCTATACTGACTGCACCATCCCGGCTCTACTATTAAATACATGTAGGTCTGCTAATTCCTGAGATCTCTAACACAGTGGGTCATACGTTTTTATAAACAGTTGAAGATGAATATCGCCGTGAAATAGGGAGCTCTGCCCCTCCGTGTCTGGGCCCAGAGATCATCCATGTAAATGTAATATCAAAATCAGGTCACGAAAGCTGCCTTCCACGTCCCTTCAATTAATTCACTTTTTTTTTCCTTGGCACTACAGCCCCAGTAGGCCTAGGCCTACCTCCATGAACTTCCGTTCACTTCGATTTTTCTACATCTTACACATTCGGTAGGACTCCTTGGGCGGGTGATCAGCTCGTCGCAAGGCCTCTACCTGTACACAAACATAGAAAAACGCACACAAACATCCATGCCCTGAGTGGGATTCGAACCCACGATCCCGGCTTCCGAACGAGCGAAGACAGTGCATGCCTTAGACCGCTCGGCTACCGTGACCGGCAATTAATTCACTTATATACCCACAATTCGATGCTGCATTGTACGTAATTCCCTGAGACACATCTCGAACGATGTAGCTATTCACCAACGCAGTTGTAAAGTTGACTAGTTTGGTGAGGTCTCCTAATTTGGGGACGGATAATATCTCATCGCAGTTGTGCTGCCGCCAGCTGGGAATATTATGAATTTCAAAAACATTTATTTGATTGTTTGTACCTAAAGTAACAGTTGATCTTGCGGCCAAATCCTTTGCGTGAGTAACTCGTTATGTTCTTGTTAGTTCCTGAACATCTGTGCCTCTCAGCTAGTATCCTGAAATTGTCAGGTAGGCCGCACACCGGCATGCGTCAAGACACGATATCTGCGACATGACGCAAAGAAAGGAGCACAGTTGAAATGAGATTATGAAAACCGCCGCACACCGGTCTGAGTCATGATGCTGACGAATCACGAATGAAGCAAGACTGCGTCTTTTGTCTCATGTCTTGATGTTTGTCTTGACGCAGTTGGTGTGCGGCTGCCCTACGAAAGGCGACCGATTTGCTTTCTTTTTCAGCTGTACATGATTAAGCCTAGAATACCGTTTATGGACAAGTAGCAAGGTTTATAGTTAGATTTTTGTAGTGGCTGATTGACAACTGAGAAAGTGAGCAGCTCGGGCTGCCTAATTTGGGGAAGTGAGGGGCTCCAAAAATGGGGTTCCCTATGTTAGGAACCATTTTATCATGCTTCGCTGCTGGATGATAATTTGGGTCAAATTTCATACAGATGTCTGGGAGGAAAAAGTTGGATCCTGACAGAATGAAGCCATAAGGAAAAAACCGGTGCGTTTCGAGACATTCAGCGTTTTCAGAGTGCCTCAAGCAACTTACAGAGATACGCGAAGCTCGAGAGCAATTTTGCTAATAGGACTGAAACGAAACTTGATAGGAAACCTCTTCTGATCCGTAGCCTCGAAGAAGACGCAATGGATCAATGTCTTAATATGGGAAAGTGTTTCTATGGCTTGGCTATGCAAGATACCAGACGTATAGCTTACCAGCTGGCACAGAGAATTAACAAACACACAGAACTTATTTTCTAAAGCTGGTACAATAGGCCAGAAGTGGCCGCAGTATAAGGGATTTAGTCCCACCCCACTAGCAATAATATTTTCTAAAGCAGGATGGGGGAAAGTAGCTCAAATACAGTGAGTTCAGTTAAGGAGGAAACTTCGCAACACCGCTGACCCGGCGGAACATTCCTCACAGATTGCTGCTGTAACTGCTGATAGCAGAATGAGTCATTAGCGCTGATAAACGCCCGCCGTTACAGCAGCAATCTGTGAGGAATATTGGGCCCGGTCAACGGTGTTGCTAAGTTTCCTCCTTGATTGAACATCCTGTATTGTCTTCACTGGCATCTCCAGTTGGCTTTAAACACTCCCCAAGGTATACCGTCGTTTCGAGCCACAGGTTTTCCTCAAGAAGCAGTCCATCACTTCTTTCATGTCCGTAACGTCGAAGTCATCAATTTAGGCCGGAAAAACCCACACATCAATCATATCCCTACCACCTCACAGCACCAACAAAATGCAAGCCTCTGGACCTGACATTCATGGGGCTATTGAAATGCTACTACATTCTAGAAATCGAACGCTGGCTTCGTGCGTACCCAGGCGTGGTCGTGACTATTTGTAATGTAGGTGAATTACTTTGAAACGCATACACAAGAGTAGGCACTGCTGAAAATGGTGCCAGTTGCTTCAGGATAGATTGTTTCTGTTGTAATACCAACATCTTCAGGCCACACGAGTTTATAGTTGCCAAGAAAGACTCTGAGCAAGCCTCTGTTGAACCTCAACCAGACACCTCCCGTGATCAAATTAATCATGTTACACTGATCGGCATTTCTGATCTTGCTACATTTTGTGAGAAACGTCAAAATACCAGTCCTAGTGGAGGTTCGTCCCAAGTGATTACAAGTTCCCTGTTCAAGAAGCTAGTAGAAGACGGTCGGAAGAACAATGCTGCAAACAAGAAGGAATTTCAAAGTAGATTTCAGAAGAAAAACGTAAAGAATGTGCCTGGAACTGAAAGAAAATTGGTTTACAGACACAAAAACAAATGACGTGTGGACGACAGGACAAAAGCTGAGCTAGTAAAATGCAAAACCTCGAAATCACAAACCGGGAAAAGACAAATTCTATTAAGAATCATCAGCTCTGCAGATTCTGAGGGGTATGCTGCGCCCTCAGCTAAATTTGGGTACATGAACTTTGCGCAGATGCTGAAGGAACCTTTGTATGTGAGCGTTACTCTTCAGAGTAGCAGGAAACTGTATGATGCCTTGAAACTATCTGTCAAATCTTTATAGCTTCTTCCTTTTATAGCCTGTTACAATACTTTAATTTCTCTCTCTCTCTCTCTCTCTTTTTTTTTTAAGATTTTAGTTCTAAATAGCTGTACTGGTCTGAACTTTGTCCTTTCTTTGTCGAAGAATTGCTTGCATTTACATTCCAGTTTAAACTTAAAAATTTAAATGTGTGACTCGTCCAGTGGATCAGCAGTATGTAATATTATAACCTATCTTCCATGGGGTAAAGGACGGCCGGCGCGTAAGGTTGACAAACTCACCACCATCTGTAAGCAGACTGTATAGAAAATGTGGGAACCTCGACTTCTCACAACCCTATGGGCCTCCACGGCCTGTTACAGGGATAGCTTTACCTTACCTTCTACCCATACTGGAAGCCTGGCGACCTAAATTTGCGAGACTTGATTCTTTGTTAGTTTGGGAATATTATTAAGTGACTTTTTTTTTCAATTTAATCGTATTTGTTGTAGATTAAGAGTAATTATATGCAGTTTGCGCACATATAACTTTTCGTCTCAGTAATGATCTTTCAAAAAAACCTCCCTTACTGGCAGCATTTACAAGGGATGATGTTTAGACAGTGTTTCGAATCCTGAGAATCACCATCAGGTTTTCCAAGAACACTACGAAGAACATGTTTGCTTTTTAAAACATTCCTAGTGTTACATCTATTGCTACATAGTGTTAACTTAACAGAGTGGGTGACCATAGTGCCAAGAAGTGTCCTATCTATATCAGGCTTTCTTTTCTCCGCTGATTTGTTCATTAAAGTTTCAATGAAACGCTGAGAATAGCCAGTGAGGCGTAGTTAAATTGATTTCCTTAACGAGGTTCCAACATAAGACGTGACTAAGAACTCAGCAGGCCACACACCAATAAATATTACTATAGGATTCTGACGATGGTGTATAACACACAAAGATATTGGGTTTTCGGACTTTATCCATCGTCCTGGTTTTAAGATAACTAAGAAAAACACGACGTTTCGGAAATTGGATCTGCTTCCGTCCTCAGGTGAGGGAAAACACCTATTCTG